GCTCGTTTCATAGGAACTGGAGGGGTTCTGTGTATGTCAACCCTACCGAGGTTTTCTTGTCAACTCGCCCGAGCCAAAAGGTACAAGCTTTTCACGGGCTGAGGAGAACACAAGCACTTTCACACACACATGCGTTCTCCACCCACGAATGATGAACAACTCCAACCAACTTGTGCCCTCAGAAACAAAAAAAAGACCATGCCAACCCATCAAGAACTGCCCGCCAATCAAGCCACCCCAAGCAAAACAAACAGAACTGCTGCCAAGCTTTCCCGTTTTTGGAAGGCGAAAAGGGTCGGTCGCCGGTCCCAAACTTCGGGACCCGGGCAGCAATGGCCGGCTTCGAGAGGTTCCGCGTGTCCCACAGCCGCAGCTGCAAGTCCTGGCGTTGACAGTTCCAGGTGACCCGACTCCGGATCCAACCAAAAACACATGTCCTTGTCTGATAGGGAGATAATGGCCCCCTAAAAGCGGTCTGATTTCTCACTAAACCCAGAGACACCCCAAAAGCAAAAAAAACTGGGTTGGTGAATCTGGGGTCAACATTGTACATGCTGGAGCTATGGAGCTTATATACCTCTTGAATAGGGGTATATACAGCGGTACAAGCTATGTAATATAAGCATCCATACCTCCAATGGTGGAGTTCCTTTTGTTGGCCCTTTGAACCAACCTCAATAAGGGTACCCTCAAACAAACAGACAGACAAACAGACAAACAAACTAAACTCCATTAAATCCATGTTACCTTTCGGCCTTTCAATAAATCAGATGGAAGGAAAACCAACTTACCACCTTTCAAATCTCAACCGCCAGAGTTCGCGCGGGGTTTCCAAAAAAAGAGAAAAACAAAACCAGCGGGTTGGGCAGGTCATCTCACCCAGAACCGCTGGAACCCCTCACCTCGCTGGCTTGGACCAGCGTGGAGCTGCCGCACCGGCGCACGGCTGTGACCTGAGATTCAACTTGACCTACTGGGACATGAGACGAAAACCTACCGTTTTTTGCTTCTTCTTTTTGTTACAACAGCAAATAAAAAAACAAATATGACACCTAGCAGGAAATTCTAGAAACATCTGGTTGTGTGTTTTCGTTGGTTGGCATGGCTTCGAGCTTGCCTCATTTTTTGTTCTGCGGCTACCCCCAAAATGGTGGTGTTCAAAAGTTTGGTTTCCCAGCCCACAGAAACAAGTTGGCACCTCGAAAGAAGACATACCCGTTGCTACAAAAACATATGGCTTCGCATGGGATCCGGGTGATTTTGACTAACAAAACTTGCGATCGGTTCGATTGGCAGGGAATGAGAAATGGAATGACCACGAGAAAAACCATCCACGATTCGGTGTCCTTTAAGGGAAACTTAGATTTCAACAAATGATTTCCCTCCCTCCGACTAACAAATTGTATCTGGAGGGTACCTGGAAGATTGGTTTCCTTTGCAAGGAACCCTCTATCAGGTGAGATGATAGTGGTTGGGAGGGTATACAAGAACCTGGGTTTTTGGTGGGTGTTGTTTCCTTATGATTTCCTTTTGGTTTTGGTGGGTGGGTGTTGCCGCTTTGCTGTAACTCCTGTAGGTGGCTGTGAGTCTGTCTGTTTAACCCAAGTGGGGGAGCTGGTAGGAATGACGGTCCTGGTCCTGTGAAAGGGTACTCGGACCAGCCCAGAGAGTGAGTGATCAGGAAGCTCAAGTAACACGTTCCTTATCTTGGCAGAGTAAATTTTAGTGAATGGGGACTCGCTGAAAGGGGCGAGAAACCGCGTACTAACCTCATTTCATGGGTGGATTGGCCTGCGAAAAGTAACTTCACTTGTGGTTTCCCACAAGAATTGGTCTGCCTAAAAAGTATAAACTTCTGAAAGTCAGGGAGTGAGTTAAACATGACATCCTTTTTGTTTCCCCTTTTCAGGCGGCAAACGCTGGATCCTGGAGGTTTCAACAAATTTTGCCAAGCCTGTTCGCTCGCTGCTCTTCTTTGGGGGGGGGGGTAGAGAGACACCTGAAGGAGACCACACATTCTGCGTATTTGATGTCTTTCACGTTACTGAGCTGGCTATAGGGTAAACCTTTAATGGGAACTGCCAGGGCTGTTAACACCTAACTGGGGTTGGCCAACCAGACAGGGTTTGTGCATCGGTTTTCTCTCTAAATAGGACATGGAACCCTCGAAATGGGCTTCGGCGTCAGGGGCACCATCTGCACAAAGTCTAGCTGACCGATTGGGGGAAACGAGCTGGAGAAGCTTTTTGAGCAGCTGCTTCCTATTTAAACCCTGGTATTTCGGACCATCGTGCTAAGGAAAACTCTGCAAACATGTTGTCCACCACCACCGACCGCCACGGCCCCCCCCATGACAGATAGAGTCAAGGGACTAAAGATCCAACCAAACAGCCAGCATGAGGTTCTGGACCGAGGAACAACTTCTCACTCAGGAAGTGAGACTCAAGAAAAGCACTGCCTGGGGGGCTGGCCACATTCCGCAGGATCTTATTCTTCTGGATGGACCTGGCAAAGAAGGGCCCTGTGACGGTTACGGGCACGACTCTACCAGAATAATCATATGCGCTCAACATAGACCACACAAAATAGGTGGCCCTTTGACACAATACGGGATTTGAGGAACCCAACAAAGACTCGACAATACCACACAAAAGCGGTAGGTGCTCAAACCCGATTTTGCGCCCCACTGTCCATTGCGCATTTTTTTAAGGGGCACCCCTTGCCATGAAATCACATCATTTCGCGCTGTTGAAATATGGTCAACCATCTCTTTGGAATCCACTGCGCAAGGGATAGCTCAAAACAAAGCAAACAGAACACACACACACACACACACACACACCAACCAACCGGGGAAAATGCATCGATGAACTATGGTTCATCAAACCAAGGGTTGCTTAACAGGATGAGGATATTCGTTGCCCCCCTTCAGGTCGCCTGAATTCACCCATCACCGTTCCAATCTGCAATCCAAACCTCCCCTCGTCCTCCGTATCCATGACCGGTCCGCCAGTTTCCCCAGCAAACACATAGAAACAACTTTGTAAGGGGACACGGAACCTGAAGCCATGGCTTTGCCATAGGGAACACGCTGGGAATCCGACTATGAATCCTTCTGATTGAGCAACCAACCGACTAAACGTTTGTGCCAGTGGGTCAGAAATTGGACATCTCTCATACGTGAGTATTCCTTATAATTGCCTTTAACCATGACCTGAAAAGAGTGCCCTCGCAAAAGCAAAGCCCACATTCACCCTTTGAGGAAGCAGCTCTGGTATGTTGGGATATGCAATGAAGAACTGGCCTTTTCATCCGCGGCACTGCTTGTCTGGCGTCGGAGACCAAATGAAACAAGCCATGGTTGATTTGGATACTAGTATGTTAGTCAAACTAGGGAGACCCTGAAAATAATGGCTGTACACTTTAGGTTTCATTTACACCAAGCCAGCAAGGGTACCCTCAAGAAAACACACATCAAGTTTGATTAGCCTTTCAGTTGGCATCCGGATCGCTTCCATTTTTGTGCGTATTCGCAAAAAAAACAACAACAACATATTTCCGGTAGTGAAATCGATTCCCTTGAAAGCCAACGACGGAACATCAACACATGCATATTCATTTCAGCAAATGGAAGAAACCACGCCGGTGAGGTGACGGCGCTTTTCCGCCAGGTTCGGCTTGCGACAAATGGCGCGCGCTGCCTTAGGCAGGGCGATAGCCTTTCGGCGTGAAACGAGCCATGGCCAGAAGCGATCTCGGGGAAAGCTCACCTTTGTTTGGTCTGTTTGTTCTTCTGTGGATGGACAAAATCCATTTCGCCCCACCTAAGAAAGCCTGGAATGATTCGATTCCCCAACGTAAATACCAACCAACAATGGTTTCCCGTGGTTTCAAAGTGGTGCAGGATTCTGTCCATCCACAGTATGGTTGTGGGAAATATGGGGACGTCTCAAAATAGAACACCCCCCTCATCCCCTCCCAAATGGGTTTAGTGTTGGTTTCCCTTGAAACCATGGTGAAAAGGATACCTTTAACACACACAAGCACAGAGACATATCTTTTCTGGGATAGCAAATTGGGCCACCCCTATGCCTTGTCACTTTGACGGGAATTCCCTTGGTACTGAACATGACTCTTAAACCACCCAAAATCCCACGACTATAGTCCTTAGTTTCGAAGCCATAGGGATCATGAGTGAGCCCGCTGCGGGGCCAAGGAACCTTCCTATTGGACTGAACAGGCTTGCTTGGCTTACAGTCTGGGAAATTGCAAGAAGTTGCAGACTGAATAAGGGAAGCTTGTAACAGGATGGGCGTCTCAAGCCGGAAATCCTGGAACGTGACGTTGCTATCATTTGCCCCCCTTAAGGACGGCTTCTCGAAATTCGGCACTCGCTCCAAAGACGGCGCTGGGGTAGACTTAGCCCCGCATGCTTGGGGTAGGGTGTTAAGGAGCCACGCCTCAAAAAGAACAGGCTTTCTCCAATGGATGTTTGAGGGTTCCTGGCCTTCGGCCTCATCTGTTTGTCCACCGGAGCCTTTCGGCCCAAAGCCAGCATGATTAAACACCGGTTTCCAGTGGCCAAATCAGGCAGCTGGTTTAAAGGTCGAGCTGTTCGAGGAACCTGCAGGAACCGGCAGAAGCCGCTTACAATCAAGTACGGGGGGAACCTCTTACAAGCCCTCGAGCCATGGTGTGTAATTTCGAGGCTACCTTTCAATGATTGGAATCAGAGACCTCAAATTCAAAACATGCTTTGGGTCCGCCGATTTTGACAGCTTTTGGCCACAAGCGAGCGCTTGAGCCGCATGCTCAAGCTCCTGAGGGAGCTTTCGCTTGCGAGCTCGAAATCCCGAGACCCGATGGGCGCGCTCCATTGGCGCGCGAGAAACCGTAAGGCAATCCTTCAGAGGTGTGAAGACACCCTACTACAAAGCTGTGCTGCCACGTTAACCCAGAAGCTTCCCCTTCACGAAAAACTCGGTGTTGAAGTTAGGCCCCACAAAACCAACAAATGCACCGCAGGAGGTCTCGCAACTGCTTCGAACTCCATTCCACTTCACCCATCCCCAAAACGGGGCTCCCTCCAAACCACGGGTCAAACCACAAAAACTTCGGCGGCGAAAAAAGAAGAAGCCCCTCACTGCTCACTCTCCGAGGAGTGCTGGCGCGGATGTGCCTCAAAGCGGAGCCGGCGCGTGTTTTGTTTTCCTCCCGTGGGTTTAGAAAAGGCCACCCAAAACTTGTTTGATACGTAAATAAGTAAATAAATAGATAAAATAAATAGATAAAATAAATACATAAATAAATAAATAAATAAATAAATAACATCATAATAAGCCTAAGTGGGATCCCAACAGCCCCGGAACTTCCCTGGAACCGAATCTCCTTTTGAACCCTCCGGCTGACTGCCCCAAACCACCCAGAGCCCATCTGGGCAGAGACCCAATCAGTAGCTTTCAGCTGGGGAGCAAGGAGCACCACTTGGCTTCAAAGGTGTTCCCTCAAACAAAAAGGACACAAAGCACCAGTGGATGAATGTCGGCATCATAACATTTAGCTCGGAATCATTCACAAGTTGGAAATGATTCAGTAATCAAGCCGTGGAATCGCTGGTTTTACTTATTATCTCTGGTTGGGTGAGCTCCATCAACTTTAGCGCACCGCAGGGTGAACCTTCCAAAGCAGCTTGACCCGTCCCCCTTGGGATTTCAGGGGTCCAAACACACAAGTAAACCACCGATGTGAAACGCAAGGATTGATGGATGTTCCCCCCTCCCACTGTGCCCAACACCAAAAAAAAACACGAAAAAGCAAAACAAAAAGCATGCCAACGACCCGCCCTCTTAAGTCTTAAGATTCTCACCTCGGGCGGCCTGCCAAGGCACTAAGAACCGCAAGAGCACGTCGCAGCTGACGCTGCCGTCCTCGCGTGCGCGACCGACCGGGGCTATGGGACCGACGGGGGCCTTGGGGTTGGAAGCGGAAGCTGATCGATCGCCGCGGTGGGCGGCTCTGTGCGTTTTAGGTCCTCCAGGTTTGAATAAGGATACCAACAAGAGTCTAGGTTTTTCCCCACAAGAGTCTAGGTCCTCCAGATTTGAGAGCTTAGAATAAGGCTACCAACTTTTTTCGGTGGCTAGTTTAGTAGGTCCCGAACCCTCCCAACCAAACAAGGGGTAGAGAAGGGCACTACTGGAGGACCTAGTGTTGGTTTAGAGAGTCTGAGCTCTGAGCTCTTGGTTTCAGGCCAACAAATAGCTGTCAAGGTCAAGGGTGAAGGGAAAACATGCCCTGAAGGAGCTCCTTGATCAAACACAAAGTTGAAGCCCCAGAACGTGGGGCCAAGTCACTTCCAAACGATTCGCCAAAACATCTTCCCAGCCGTTTGGGGGGGCACCGCGGTGATTCTCACAGGAATCCTTGCACTCCCCCAAACGAACATGGGAGCTCCCAGGACTCTTTTGGAAGACTCGGTTCCATTTGGAGATGGGTCAAAACTTCAACACCATAAGAACCGCAGGTTTTAGTCCATGGTTCCATTTACCAGCGTTCCATTTTGGGGTAACCAACTATTTTCAACCAGCACAGCCATTTCAGCTTTCCATGTCATGTACGAAGGAGTTTCCTGCTCGATCCCTTTGGATTTCTTCCGAGACGCTCTCGATTTCCATTGGGCCCTCAAAGTGCCAGGTGTGGACCCCAACTTGGTTGCTGCAACGACCCTGCAAAAAGTGGTTGTTTCACTCGGGGCTTTGGTGTCAAAACTCCCATTGGGAGCCGAAGCCCGAGCATCTTGGATCGATCCCCTCTCCTGTGAGGCCAACAGCGGCCTGAGCGCCCTCTCCAGTGCCTCCGCCTGACCGACCGATTCGATTGGTCGGGCTCCCCGTCGTTTTTTTTGGGGGAGGTTCTCCTTTTTGGATGACTTTGAAGGAAACGAAAAGGAGACCGCCCCCATTTTGCGGGGGTCCTGCCATGATCCAAATCTGCCTGTCCCAAGCTGTTGAAACAAGTTTGCGTCAGTCACCAAGGCCATTGATTGCCTACGAGTCCAGAAGCCCGGAAATCCGCCCAGTGGCCATTTTGACACTTGGTTTTCATCCGGGGTTTCCCCCCCAAAAAGAAAACACGCAAGCCGCCCACGCGTTTTTTGTGCAGCTTGGAACCCCGAGTGCTCCCACAAGCCCGCTCGCTCCGCTGGAACCTGTCCCGAAACGAAAAAACGACAACGCGCGCGCCAAACCGCGCCTCGCCCTGGGATCGGCCGCAGGCCAGCAGCAGCTGCAAGATGGGCAGGCGCTCCACGTGGCTGGCGGCGAAGGCGGCGTACAACGAGGCCTCGGGCTCTAAGGCGAGCGCTCGTTACTCGGCGGCTCGGATGGCCGGGCTTGGGGTGAAAGGAAATCAGGGACCCCCCGTGTTTTGGTCGGATGGTCAAGGGGATCCCTGGCCCAAGGAGTGAAAAGGGTGGAACCGGGGCACAAAACACCCCTTTGCGTTCAAGTCGACATAGCTCAGTTGTTTGGGGGTTCAAGAAAAAGCTGAAACCAACACCTAAGTTTTTTTTCTTGTTTTTGTTTCTTTCTTCAAACATGCAACAAGAAACTAGCCATGGTCTTAAAACGTAAAAGCCTGCTGCATGGCTCTTCCCCCAACCCAACGCCTGAACTCGGCCTGGCAGCTTCCACGTTTCGGGGGGAACCCTTATGCCGCTGGAAATGCAGTCGACCGCCAAGGACTCTATGGACCACCCGGCGACATCGATAGCTTTTAGGATAAGATTCCAGTCCGGAGTGGTTTGTGGTGTGTCTCCAGTCCGGAGTAAGACTTTTAGTGGCATGCTACTGATTCAGATTGGGTTCGAGCTGGTAAGGAACATGTCGTCAATCTTCCCGCGAAGGAAGTCAACGAGGTACTTTCTTAACTGGGTGCAGCAGGGGTCCGCTTCCCACTGCCTCTCCCAACATAAATCATTTGTTGGGTAAACAAATGCTTCAAGACATGTGTCTTTTTTTAGGGGCCCCCCAAATTGGTGGTGTTCTGCTTGGCTTCCTTTTAGAGCTACCCCAAAAAGGGGCTACCCTGAATAACAGACGCACCGTATCTGTGGCATTCCATGCAAGTATCGAAAGGGCACCGGTCAGAGCATTTCAAAGGAAAATCCCCACTCAGTTGCCAAGAGGACCGCAAACCAAAGGTTGACCTTTGGGGGCTATGACTAAAAATGGTCCAACAAGAGGAAATAAAAATGTCAAGATGTCGATTTGCTTTGGGCAACCGAGAATAGTCTTTCCCAATACACTCCAGCGACCCCCCGAAAAAGGTACCTAAGTTAAACAAACGTACCTTAGAAACAACAAAATAGTCAACTGGGGTATTCCGCGATTGTCTGCTAGACAGTAAGTGGGCTTGTCTTTTTTGAGAGACCCATTTTGGGATTGGTTGAAAGGGGAACCCAAAAGGACACCACCTCAGTTGCCCAAAGGACCCAAAAGCTTCACCTTTTGGGACCTTTACTAAAAATGGAAACCAACCATGGGAAACCCAAAGGTCAAAAGGTCGATTCGCTTTCGGCAAGTGAGCCACTCATTTTTGGCCGAGATCCCTGCTGCCAGGTCATCCTCTGTAAAGCCTGGCCATCGGAAAACCGTTGCAAGGAAAGGACTCGACGTGGGCAAAACAGTGGATGGGAGTTGTTGTACTTGCTGTGTTTATTTAAATTTCTTTCTGTATTCATTGTGATTTTCTCGTGTTCCACCCCCGCCCTTTCCAAACAGACAAACAACAAGTGACACAATGAGAAATCGTAAAATAAAGCACTTACAATGATTGTCCAACAACCTGTTGAGGGGTTGATTTAACCATGCCAAGGACTGCCCATCGGCAAGTCAGTGGGGCGATTGTGAACAGCCAAAGAAGTACTGGTGTCAGGCGCCTAAAGAATATATACTTACTGCCAAGTGGATGGCTTTCTAGCTATGGTCAAAAATTGGGGCTTGTCTTAAACCTGGGACGCCCAAAGTGGTTGGTTCTCGTTGGGTTGCGCCTTTTGAAGGGTGCCATCAACAAAAATACACACCCATTTAGCAGGCCTCAAAGTACCAATTACCCACCAGCTGACATGGACAAACCCCCCAGTGTGCTCTTTTACCTAGTCAATTGTAGAGAGGTCCCCTTGATGGCAAAGCCTGCCCAGAATCTGATCTACCAGGATTCTCGGGCCACCCCTAGGTGAATTTCATCCAGGAATCCTTCACGAGCAAACTTTGGGGTGTACCCAGGACCAGCGAAAGCCATGTCGGTCATTTGCCTAGTTGTTTTAATAATGGTAGAATTCGCAGAAAATCCTTGCTTTACAACAGAACAAGACTCAAGACCTGGTGAAAAGAATGATGGAACACAATGAGTTGCACTGGCCCTACCGCCTCATTCAGTCATACTCCAACTCCGGTTTATCTCTGATCCTTTATGATGTAAACGGCTAAGCTGTAGCCAAAACCGGACCACCAAGCTGACCCGATGTTGAGCCGACCCCTCCAAAGTTGAAAAAGAACATTGTACAGACCAAAACTACGTTGCGAGGAGAATGCTGGAATTGTCTCTTTTAGATGGGCACCCTTTTGAGAGGATTCCAAGATCAGCCTGAGGCCTGAGGGGTGTCTCTTTTTGATCGGCACCCTTTTTGAGGTTTAGGAAAACCAAAAGGACCACGAGCGTCTCAGACTCCCGGCCACTTGGCCCTGCCTCGCTTGAAAGGCGAAGGCTGCTCCAGCCACGCCATGTCCTGAGTTCGATATGGCCTCAGCCTTCTCCAAGAGTGCGCCCAAATTGGAGGCCCTCCTTCCAGTTGTTTAAGCTTTGTGGAGGAAAACAAAAAACATATTTCCTCTACTGACAGATTCCCTTCAAAACAAACAACAAAACATGTGTCTAGGCAAATGAGAGCCTACTAACATTGTTTTTGTTTTGCATTTGGGCTCCTTCTGTTCGCGACGTCACTTCAAAACCCCAATCCGGGTTTTGTTTGCTCTGTCACTGTCAATCTCCGAAGCTGAGACTCTGGTCTCGCGCTTGGACACGCCCGATACGCCATCAACTAGTTGTCCCTCAAAAACGAAGTCCTTCAAGGTTGACAAGCTCATGTCGCGGGGTGAAGCTTGAACTCCTCCATTGAATTGGGTGGTCTTAGCGCATGGCTTTGAACGGGAACTCTGGGACGCCCCCCCCCCCAACCCCATGATCTCCCCAGTTCTGTTAGTGGCTCCAATGTGGGTATGCGTCAAAGAGGGGGACCCCCAAAAAAGAGGTGGTGTTCCTTATCGAATTCCCATGTCACCAACCTTCAGAAGGGAACCCTAAAAACACGCCGCGGGGGAATGATTTTTTTCATGAGGGCCCCTTGAGCGGTGATCTAGGGGATTCCGTGGCTTAAATTTACAGCCATGTACTTGGTCAACCAGCATTCCTTGACCATTCCTGCAAAACCATTTGCCTTTTCTATGTTCATCACTTTGGTCAAGGGCAAAGCATCTAAGATCTCACCATAAGCCAAGGACAGCATCACAACGGGCCACCCGGCATCGAAGGACCGCGCATAGCCTGCGAGGTAGGCTTCGCAACTGGAAGGGTTCATGTCCACCCCAAGTAGTATCCAAAAAGCAGTCGGCTGGGAACTGTTCCTTGATCCTCCAGTAGAGGTTTTAAAATTAACGGTACCATATTTTTTCTGTAGTCTATTTCAGTAGGGTCCCGAACCCTCCCAACCAACAAAGAAACGGGTGAGAAAGGGCACCACTGGGGACCTAGCAAGTTGGAAAGTGAGCTTACCTTCAGCAGCCAGGGGCCCCGATTTTTCCAATTGTCGCCACAAATGCCACTGGGGCGCCCACGCATGCAGCGCACGGGTCGTATGGGTGCCTCTCCAAATTAGGGACCCCCATGGCTTGGTTTTGAGGGTGCCCTGTTGAAGCGGTCCAAGGGACCTCGAAAGTGACGCTTTTTTTCTTGGGTCCATCCAAATCCCTATGTTGAGCCACTCACTTCCAGTTGCTTAAGCCCCCTGGGGAAAAACATATGCTTCATGTGGTGAAATCGATTCCCTTCAAAACCAACAGGGGAACATGTGCTCTTCTTTTTTCAACTTACAAATACATAAACAAAAACAGAATCTCACGTCTCAGCAAATGGAAGAAATCACATAGCTCCAATGAGTCACCCTGGGTGTGTCGTTTCTTCCCATTTTGCCCCGAACCGCCTGCCGAGCCGGCGATCACCGCGTGGGCCACTGCGTCCGCGAGCTCCGAGGGGTCAGAAGGCCTAAGGTCCGAAGGGTCCAACCCTCCCATGACCTCAGGAGGTCCGGCGGAAGACTTGGCTGAGATATACCACTAAAATTGGTTCTATAATGGGTGGTGAACTCACCAACCAACCTGGTACCATTGGTTTTGACCCACAGGTATCAAAATGGCGCCTTGGCTAAATGGAACCAAAGACTGAGCCACACCTTCCAAGAAAGGTGGACTGGAAGGGAACGGGGCGCCCCCCACCTGGAAGCTCTAGAGGTTGGCTCCGGCGGCCGAAACGGGCTCCATTCACAGCCGAGTCTGGGAGCTTGAACAGCTCTTTGGGCTCTGGGACGCTTGCGAAAAAAACAACTGGAGGTATCTGAGCTTTTATGCTAGCCCAGCAAGCAGAAAGAATGGCAGAACCCGCCCAAACCCCAAACCCCAAACCCCGCCTTTGGGTCAGACCCGCAGGATCTAGCCAACCAAAGGACCTGCTAAAACCGATTGGTGGGCAATCCTTTTGGCTTGAAACGAGGAAACCCCCGGGAAATCCCAAGATATCTCATTTCAGATCAATGTTGGCTGGACCTCCGGACGAACCATTTTCCTGTACAGCCATGACCCGCCCAAACAAGCGGCATTTGTTTGCTTCAGGCAAACGGCCACATATTGGGCGCCAGAATTCGTCATCTTTTGGTTTCAACGCCCCAGAACACCAAGTAACCTGAACCCCCGCCCTCCCCCTTCGAGTAAGTGAAGGCCCACTCCTACGTTTGTTTTCTCAGAGTCAAAGAAGAAACACGTGAGCAGCACCCGTTTCCACCGTTGACTAACCTGGCTACGGTGAATACAGGCAAAACCACCCGAACGCCCTCGAATGTTGGCATCTGATTGTTTGCCCGGAGTCACATTCGTCCTGATGTCCTCCCAGGGTGAAGAATTTGTGCCAAAATGGGCCACCTATTGATTACGAATTCTGGGTCAAAACTACCGGCAAACAAACAGTAGGACACCAACACATCGGAGAGAACCGGCCAAGATTGAAGAAGGGGGAACCTGGTCAAGATGAAACCGAAGAGATCCTAACCCCCAAAACCCCCCAAAACACCTCGATTGGTCCATTCCTGTCACCAAAGAGGTCGTCGCTGGCACCCAGACATCGGCACAGTCGTCAACAAAAAAACTCCGCCCGAGGTGCGGCCAGGGCGAAAACTGGCGGCTGAAGGTGACCTCCTCCTGCCATTCGATAGCTGACGAAAGTCCCCAGGTTGGCAGCGGTTAGGTGATGTATCCTCCCCCTGGTTATCTTCTGGGGGAGGGACTTCCCCCAATTTCAGTCCTCTCCCCCAAAAAAATGGAATCAGAAATGGAACTCCAGGAGTTACCCTCCCCGAATTCCATTAAGCGGGTAGGGATTAGGTGACTTATCCAATCTGATCCCCATCCATGCGGGATTTCAGGGCTCTGGAGGGGCATGGGGCTGGGTTTCATCACAAATGGAACCGGTCAACCAAACAGGAAACCAGGGTGTAACCAACTGGCAACCTACATGTGTTCCTTTCCAAATGGGGTAGCCAAACACCCAAGAGCTCAGTGATGGTAGAGGAACTTGAGGAATTGGTACCCTGCTCTTGACAAAACATCGCCCCAAACAGCTCCATGACCAGTGATGGGAAGACTTGGGAGCACCCCTTCGCTGGTAGTTGGGTGTGGCTCAAAATTGAAGCAGGTTGTCTGTCTTTGGTTCCATATACCATGCCATGTGGATACCACTCTGGTCTTCGTACGGTCCTACGGTGCCCCGTTCACCAAGCAAAGAAGGCGCCATGAAGCGCAGTTGTGATTGACTGAAGCAACTCGCTTTGCGAAGCAAGTGAACACACAGTGAAGACCTCAGGAATTGCAGAGCGAAACCATTTTGGGGTGAATTTTACAGGGGGTCCCCTTGAGTGGATTGACCAAAACATAGTCCAAACTACTTGATTTTCGCTAGTATGACTATTAGTCTTTCCCAAAAGCATAAGCTTTCCAAGCCTCGGTAAGGCATGGTACCAAGACTTGCCTGTTGCAGCCCCTAACGAACAAAACCCTGAGAACTGAAACACATTCCAAGCGCGACTCTTCAAGTCCAGGGGCTCGGGGACTCGGGGCGTGAGGCTCGGGGCGTCACGGCATACCCCGGCTCGCTCCTCCTGATACGCGCGGCTGGGGCTGTACTCCGAACACATCTGGTCGGAGCCCCGGAACGAGAAGCCTAAGATCGACGAATCCGTCTGAAGGAGTCGCGGAGTCGCGGAGTCGCGGAGTCGAGGGTTATTTTGGGACAAATACGGCTTTGAGATCTTTCTTTTTGAATAGTGGACACTGCACCAAAGGAATTCATAGAACAAATGTGTTTTTGGTTGAATAGCGGTTGGACTTGTAATCCGGACAATTCGACATGCACTTTGCAGCTGTGGTTTTGCTTTGGTAGCTGTCAAACACGTTTTTTGTCCACTCCTCTTGGGTGTGGTGGTTTTGCGGGCCCAACCATCCAAAAAGGGGGACGGCCCTGGCTCGTGGAAATGTGTGGGGCCCAAGCATGTGGTTCTGGGTAGGCGGTGTCCTTGTGGATGTGTGCCCATGTACTTGGGTGAGAGTCGACTTAGTAGGTTGGCTCGGAAAACTTGTTGGGCCCCCAGACCAATTCGCATGGCCCTGTGAAGAGATGGGGCACCAAAAGCATTCCACCCTTAGCTGCTGCGTGGCGAAGTCCTTTTTGGGCTCTTGGAAGAGACGAGGCCAGACATAAGTACTTGCATTCTTCCCTCCCGATCCCGACCTAGAAATTGGACATATGTGAAGTACTTACAGTCTCATGATGCAGGACCACCCAGAAGTACCTTTGCTCACAGACCTAGGTCCTCCAGTAGAGGTTAGAACAAGGTTACCAACTTTTCCTGTAGTCTATTTTAGTCCCAAAAAAAGGGGTTAAGAAGGGCACTACTGGGGGACCTAGCTCATAGTTCAGACTCGCATCTTGTTTGTGCCTTTCCATGATTGGACATAGGCCCAGTGATAGAATGTATATTATACTGTTTGCTTTTTGGAAGAGTCACCGGTAAAATGTAAAATGTTTCCCCCTACGGATTGGGACCCTATATAAACCTTGGGTCTTGAGAGGTGGGTAGGGTTGACAAAAAACAGGGGACCTCGCAGACTTGCTTCTTGCTTGTTCCTTTCAACCACGTGTAACAACCCCCGTTCTTTCGCCGAGGCGGCAGGACGCCACTTCGTCGCAGGGCTCCTCTGGCGCGTCGCCCTCCATGTCCGCCGCGGCCTCACAGACCCGAAAAGCAGGCGATCCGCCCACCGCGAGGATGACAAGCCCCAGAAAAATGAGAGCGTTCCACAGAATGAGCGATACAAACACGTGGGTTGATCAAAAGGTCCGTAAAACATGGGAGCATATGTGGTCCCATGTTTTGCGGACCCTTTGATCATCAACGCATCATGTTGAGCAAATGACTTCCATTCTTTAGCCCCCTGGACAAAAAGAGAAAATATGTTTTGTAGTGAAATCGATTCCCTTTAAAGCCAACACGGGGAAAATCAAAACAATACCATCATATAATTTCAGCAAATGGAAGGGAAGCACCAAGGACCTATTGATCAACCCACACTTCCATTTGCTTAAGCTTCCTGAAAAAAAAAAGTCCGCTAGTGATGGATTCCCATTAAAACCCACTAGGGAAAATACAAGATATTCTTAAGCAAACGATCGCACATATGGCCATGGGTCAAAATCCCGTAGCCCCAGTGAACATCCCAATCCCCACTAAACCAGGTTCTAAAATGGGCGCGCGAAGCGGCGCCAAGTCGGAGCTCTGCAGTTCCCATCTGCTCGATGTGGCCGTGGGTCAAATCCAATGGTACCATTTTGGGGGAGGTGCACCACCCATGTTAGAACCTATTTTAGTGGTTGGATTTTCGTGGGTCACAACCCTGGAAACCCCTGGCGAACATCAAAGGTGGCGAATGGATCCATCCATCCACCCCAACAATGGAGTCTCGAGACCTCGATCAGATCTTCGAGGCCCCGGGGCCCCACAAGCCCGGGCAGATTCTTGTCATGTGGCTCGGGGATCCCATTTCTGGGAGCTTCGAAACCCGCGCCTTGGGCAGCACCAAGGTGTCCTCATCCTCCTCGGGGAAGGGCTGGGCCTCGAAGCGGCGAAGCGAGCGGCGAGCCGTCGCGGTTGGGGCGGTGGTTTCAACCCCCAAAAGGAAACATAGGCTTTCATGTTTGGTTTGCTTTGTTGGGCGGGGGTAGTCATTTTGAGGCAAACAGGAAAACATATGTTCACCTTTGTGGATGTGAGTCGTCTTTTTTCCCCAGCTGAAGGCCATGGGGAAAACTAGGCCCAAGGCGACTCTGGGGTGGTTTGGGCCGGGCTGCTGGGGATACCACCTTCGCTTTATTTTTTTGGGTAGCAATTTTCAGGCCAACCCAGTCCGTTTCTTGGGGTAATTTTGAGGCCAACCCAACCCAGATGTCCCATTTTTTTGCTCAAACATCAGGTCCTTCCGCTTCCGCTGGTCAACCAACCCAACTCATCGCTACTCCGGAGAGGCGTCAAGGAACCGGAGACAGGCGGTGTTTACGGAAGCCCACCAAGGCAAACACAAGCTCTAGCGGTCCCTTCAGTCATTCAAACATGGGGGATGTGCCGAAAAACGGAAAACCTATGGGCCAACTATGACCCAACGCGACTGGTCAGCTCAGACCAGTTTATGGGTTAAAACAAAAAACATGTTTCGCAATTTTAAAGGGAACATCTAGCCTTTTTCTGCGCCCCAAGAAGAGTTGTAAGAACCTTCTTGGAGGCTCTTTGAACCCTCCTGGGTTGGGCGGAAGGCATCCTTTTCCAGCGCTCATGAGCCACAAGCTGCCTCAGGCTGGATCACAAGAAATGGGCTACGGTCAATGGTGAGTTACCCTGACGGACCCTAAGGGTCCCGGAGTTCGGTCTCAAGTTTGTTCTCACAGCGGGGTCTTCAAAAAAAAAGAAGAAGAAGCCCGGGACCCATAGGAGATGCAAACAATCAGCCAAGAGAAATTTCTGTCCGGCACCTCAAACTTTGACGTAACCTGTGGCGGCGATTCTGAGCTTCACTTCTTCTTGCCGCCCTTGTCGTCCTCGCCCTTGCGCTCACAGCTCACCACCTTGCCAAGCATCACCACGCCGTTGCCTCGGCGAAAACCAAAACCAAAGGGGCTAGGGAGCTTGTTCTAGGTGCTCCTGTAGAGTGGTTCGAATAAGGGTACCCTTTTTTCCGTAGTCTATTTTAATAGGGAAACAAAAAAGGGGTGAGAAATGGCACTACTGGGCGACCTGTTGTAGGCTAAGTTTGCTGAGCCCCTGACGTCATTGAGCGGGTGTCCTTTCATCGCCCGGGTGACTTCAATTCTGTACCTTCAGGTGGGACCAGAACAGGTGGACCTTCTGCCGTCGCCTGGTGGGAGCGGAATATTGCTAAGCTGTTCCTTCACCAAGGATAGCCTCAAAACTCCAGTCCAACTATTGAGCCCTAACAACCCCTAGTGCCCTGTGAAAAATTCAGCAACAGGTCAAATCCATGCGCTCAAAACATGACGGTTGCTTCCAAGTTGGCTGCCAAGGTCTATGTAGGCTTACTATAGCAGAACCACCTACTCAATGACCCCTCTGCAAAAAGTTTAACTTGCGGGTCCAATTCGGAGAAGAAAAAAAAGGCTTTCTGTTTCAACCAACAAGTTTCGTCCACAGATCCGGTCAAACAAATGGCCCTCTCGGGGGTTTTGAGGCCTTTTGTGGCTACCTCTTGGGGGGTTTGGGGGGGTTTTGGGGTCGTTTTGGGGGCCCTCTTAATCTCTTGGGGCCCTCAATTTTCCGGCGACCTCCCGATCCCACGTCTCTCTCATCTCGCTCGCTACCGATACCCGACGTCGACGTGGACGTCTGGTGGGTCTCCCGGCCGTCCATGAAGGCGACGCGGGAGAGGCCCTCGCAGTTCTTGAAGGTGTCGCAGACCAAGGGCTGCTGGGGCTGGAAGCTGCACTGGGCCTACAGAACCAAAACCGAGCTGGCCATGGGTCAAAAGCCAAAGCCAAATCGTACCCCAGTGAACGGGACCCAATCCAACCACTAAAATACGTTCTACAATGGGCGGTGCACCTACCCCAAAATGGTACCATTGGGTTTGACCCACAGCCAGCTCAGCCCCGCTTGGCAACAAATGGCTGGTTTGGAGCCCCAATTTAAGCCCTTCGAGCAACACTTGGCGATTGGACTCCGAAGAGGTTTGGAGCTGCGGAGCTTGAGTAGTTTCCCCGTCACCTATAAGACCCGGGCTTCAAACCGCAACTCCAAGCCACCAAGGGGGTTATCTGACAGTTGGGTTATCTGACAGTTCAAACAACTACCAACACACATCTCTGACTTCTCTTAAAACAGCTCTGGTCTTTCAGAAAGGCCATGGATGCGAATAAGACCGCGGGATTTCAAGCGAAGCCGGCAAAACAACCCTTTTCAGACTGACATGTGTGCGGGTTGATCAAACCATTAGGGAAACCACCAAAAAAGATGACTGTCACCACTCAATGGGAAAAGTTACCCATGGTGATTTTCGGACCAGGAATATTGATCAACCCCCATGCATGTTATATGGATATACATTTATTATTGACAGAACCTTGATTCAAGAGTTGCAAAAGATGATGCAACTCAAAGAAAGCACGCTAAAAAAGCCAAATGAGCATAGCTCCTTGTTATCTTTTTTGGAGAATCTCAGTCTGTCTGCTCTTCCTTGGACAAAACAGCTTGCCCGCCCCCGTTTTTTTCACGTTTGGATTTTGATGACATTGATTCTAAGGAATGGTGGAGAGCCAAAACAAAAACAATATGACACACATACGCAAACAACGGGCAGGCAGGCAGGCCGAAGGGGCAGAGCCAATACCTAAAGCAAGAACAATAGCAAGAGCAACAAGAAGATGCTAGCAACAGCAACAGCAACAGCATCAACAACGGCAACAGCAACACGGCACTAAAAACAACAACAGCAACAAAATCAACACCAGCAGCGATAGAAGCAGGAGCAGAGGCAGCAGCAGCAGCAGCAGCAGCAGCAGCAGCAGCAGCAGCAGCAGCAACGGCAGCAGCAGCACCAGCAGTATTTCCTGCTGTTCAGTAGAGCAAGTCATGATCACCTTCCCTTCAAATGAACAGGAGAGACAAGAACTGGCTTTGTGCGGGCAACACAGTCGTTGTCCAACAAGATGAACCGTGAAGCAAAGAGCAACACGTCACTCAATACATAACCAAAAGACCAGTTTTCCCAGGTAAAGGCACACCGACAAACAACGCTTCTATAGTTTTTGACCATCTAAGCAGCCGAAGCCCATTGACTTTGCTTTCTATCATGGTCACAAAGGCTAAAGTAAATCCCTTATAGACTTTATGCAGCCAGGCAGGAGCCCAACCCGCACGGGCCCAGAGAAATCAAAACAGGCTCTCATCTGCCAGTGGGCTCCTGCCAGTGGGCCCCGTTCTCCATCTGATGCTTCAAAGGCAAACTCCCAAATGGTGGCGGTCCTCGTGGTTTCCATAGGTTTCCCTTTAAACCAAAGAGGGACTGGCTTTCCTTGTGGTTTCCCTTCAAACCGAGCACACATCCCATCCAATGGAAATCCTACCGCTCGTCACTCCACTGAAGGACGCCGCCGCTCAAAAACGTATCTCGTGCCAAGGGGCCATCTCGTTGGACTTCAGGGAGTGGGGGTCCTCCATCTTCTTGCCTCCGGTCTCCTGATGGAAAAAAACACGTGTGTGTGTGTGTGTATGCATGTATGCATGTATGCATGTATGCATGTATGCATGTATGCATGTATGCATGCATGTATGCACGTACGTGTGTATGTATGTAGAATATAATTTATATGTGTGCTTGTGTTTGTTTTTGTTCGAGGCTCAGTACCTTTTCCAGATTTGGTTTAACTCGAGGAAGCTGACAAAAGGCCTGTCCGAGTCTTTCCAGAGCTCTCAAAACAAACAAATGCCGGCGGGGAGGTACACAGAAGTGCAGATCGGAATCTATTCGTTGGAGACCTGGTGAGACTTGGTTGAGACCCGGGCTCACCTCACAGGATCAAACGCCGAGGATCAGTTGCGAAGCCTTTCCACAGCGAGGCTCAACGCTCAAGCCCGGTTTGTTTGGGGACCTGGGGCTGCGGATCGAAGCAATGGCTTCACATGGAATACGTCGAAAGAAAATGGCTCAAAAGGGCCCTTTTAGGACCTCCACCTTGCTGGTAAACGGGTAACCCATTCTTCCGCTGGGTGTTTTTTGAGCGGTTTAGACCTTTTGAAAGCTCCAAAGCAAAAAACAACAGGTAGTGGAGATGATATTGAGTTGATTGGATGCTTACTTCCTTGGAACCAAAGCAATCCGCAAGAACTACCCTCCTGTCCACTAACATGGAACCCACCAGCGGGTCCACTTTAAAGCAAAATGGTCTCCCAGGACCCCCAGTCAGATTCCATGTTAGTGGACACGACAGTGTCCTAATTCACTCAGGTGCCCAGTTTGGACCCAGAAATCATGTGATTAGAATTGGGCGCCATAACTACCAACTTAAAGGTGATTCGCTTTGCAACTGAGTTCAAATGAGGGATCGATCCCTATGTCAGGCCCCTTAGGTAACCTTCATGTGCCCAAGGGCGCGTTTTCCAGCCATTGCCCAAAACAATTGACCACCAACACGTTGTCCAGTCCGTCACGCGAAATAATTTGCTGGACCCCGCAAGGTTAGTGGGAAACAGGTCGGAGGGGGCGTGGCTTCAAGATTAAAGATCCAACAAAAGATCACTCAGGGACAGGTGATACAGCCCTTAGTATGATAATCAATCCCTAGACCAGGGAGAAGAAGCCATTACTAAATGCTTTACTTTGGAGTGCCACCGGTAAGGGAGGCCAAACGGGAACCCGCCGATATTCCACTCTGAGACAAAATTGGATTGAGCCAAAACGAGGAATCGACCCCCTCTAAACGGCAACTACATCCATTGCAACCCAGAAGAGAAACCAACTGAGCATTCAAATCTGATATCTCTGTTCTACCAAAATGGCTACAAAGGTTTGTACACAGTAGCAGTCGCCACAAGCCCCATGAGGTAGTTGAT